TTTATTAGGTACACATAGTTAGTGCCGGGCATGCACCACTTTATTAGGTACACATCCATGGCTAGTACCAGGTGGGACTCACTTTATTAAGTACACATACTTAGTACCGGGTAGGGTCCACTTTATTAGCTATACCTAACGAGTGCCTGGTGGGACCCACTTTATTAGGTACACATAGTTAGTGCCGGGCATGACCCACTTTATTAGGTACACATAGTTAGTACCAAGCATAACCCACTTTATTAGCTATGCCTAACGAGTACCAGGTGGGACCCACTTTATTAGGTACACATGTTCAATTTATTTTTATTTTATATAGTGCTTTTAACAGCAAATTGTCACAAAGCACTTTACATGTAACCGGCCCGAACCCCCACCAAGCAAGCCTGAGGCGACAGTGGCAAGGAAAAACTCCCTCTAGCAGGAAGAAACCTTGAGAAGAACCAGGCTCAAAAGGGGACCCCATCCTCCTCTGGGTGACCGGGGTGCATGAAAATGTACACACATTAACATTAGTTCAAAATTAATCATTAATTTATCATTTTAAATAAGTGAAGATATAAAAATAGTCCGAAGGAGTCGTTGCTGGGGCCGCATGCTAAGATCCACTCAGCAACATTAAGCTAAAGTTAGTTCAGTATTAAATTCGAATTCAGTTCAAGTCCATATAGTCTGAAAAAATCCCAGCTGGTTCCAGATGATGGTATCCATGGAGTCCAGGTGAGGGTTCATGCGGTGAAATGTCAGCTCGTGATCAGCTCGGAAAAGAGAAGAAAGAGAAGAGAGTTAGTGCCCTACACCTAACCCTACACCTAACCTAACCTCCGCCCGGCGTCTAGCCAAACCACCGGCAAACTGAAGTGATCGGCGAGAGTGGCATGACGACGCACCAACCCCCCCTTTCACCTTCAATCTCAAATGACCATGAACCCCCAGATCTCACATTTACCTTAAGAAAAGGGATTTTAATATCCAAAAGACTGACTAAAGAGGTAAGTCTTAAGCCTTGCTGTAAAAGCAGAGATTGTTTCTGATTTAGTACTGGGTGGGACCCAATTTATTAGCTACACATAGTTAGTACTGGGTAGGACCCAATTTATTAGCTACACATAGTTAGTACTGGGTGGGACCCAATTTATTAGCTACACATAGTTAGTATTGGGTAGGACCCACTTTATTAGGTATACATAGGAAGTATCGGATGTGACCCAATTTATTAAGTACACACCTAGTTAGTACTGAGTAGGACCCACTTTTACCTCCAGAACCACTTTCAGAGGAGACAAGTTCTGCCTGAGCTGTTATTTTTGCACTTCCGGCTGGCTTTAGCTCTCCTCATTCTCTCCTGACCTCTTTCATCCACAGGGTGTTTTTCCTAGAGAAATGCAAAGTTTTTTTTTTCATTTTTCTTCACACCATCCTCTGAAAACTCCAGACACTGTAGTGGGTAAAATTCACGGGAGGACAGCTGTGTCTGTGATGCTGGTACAACCACACCACGTTCAGAACCACTTTGATCAGAATGTTATCTTAACTGTTGCAATGGCTAATCGAAAAGTAAGTTGGCTGGTTGGGGTTCCAGGCCACTGTGCCCTTGCCCTTGTATAATAAATATACCTAAATGCTGTAAATTATGGGTGCCCGGCTACCAGGCATCCAGCAAAGCCATATGCTCTTACTTCCTCCGAGTCACCTCACTTGAGGCGTGAACCAATCAGCACAGTCTTGAAAGTGGGCAAGGTGCGTGTAATTTTATTGTGTTATACCATGGTAGAGAAGCAGAATGGAGCCACTGGAAGAGACTGAAATAGTTCTTGGTCCATGAAGAAGATAGAAGGGTTTCCTTGACTGTGGTTTTATTGTGGATTCTGTGCTTGCTGATATGATGGTTTGAGGGAATATAAAATGGAATATTCCCTCAAGACGTCTCTCTTTGTGTGGTGGCTCAGTAGCCCGAGCCTGCAGGTTGTGCGTTTGATACCGGTGCTCAGTGATGTGTTTGTGGAGATTATACATTCCTGGGAGGAAGTTCTTTTTAGTTCTTGTGTTGTTGTTGTTGTCGTTTTGCTTTTCTTTTGTTTGTTTGTTTTTTGCTGTTTTGATTTACCAGGCCCACCAATTCCTGCTCAGTTTCACTGAAACCATTGGTGATATTTAATTAGAAAAAGATAGAATGGAGGGTCTAACTATAATCTTACCGATAATTGTAATTCGGCTTGATGGTAGCCTCTGGTATTTTTAACTGCCGCTGGAGTAGACAGCCTGTCTCAGAAAGCTTCAGGGCTTCTCGGGATGGGGGACGTGTTCGAATGCTGACCTCTAAGCCTCCCTGTTTCTATGACTGACCTGATAATCTCGGGCCTCGGAGCTAGCGGTCGATGCTAAGATAAGCCGTGTTGTCTGCTGGAGGCACAAGAGCTGCCGGCGTGCGGTCCGCACACACCGAGAATAGGCCTACAGGAGGACCGGATTCCGGACATCGGAGCGAAAATGTAAGCTAGTGAGTTTTAGCGGATCAACATGCAGGCACATGAGCACAGGGAAATGTCTTCAGCAGCTCTAAATTTGACAAGTTATGTGATGTATGGGAGTTTATAAATCCAACAGGACACGAACATATAAAATAACCAATCAGTCGCTTTGTTTTACTGTGTTTCTTACTTAGTGTAACACCTCCACTAAGCCTGATGCAAATGGGAAGCTTCTGTAACTAGAGGTGAAAAGTAAACGTTCGAAAAACTGTCCCCCTTTCACATTTCCATGAATTGTAATATATACCTATAGCTTTGTTGTATGAATAATTTAAAGGAAATAAATCCTACAAATTGTTTCAAAGAAATTATATTAAGCGTAAAAATCAGCGGTAATTACAGATTTTTCATTAGGAAAGACGCTGTCATCCTTGGTTATATTTAAATAATTATTTCAAACATATTTAATGTATTAAATTTGTATGTATTCGAGGTGACCAAAAGAACGCTGTGTTTAATGGGGTCTTGGCAATACGTATTAGCCATAGATTAAAATGATTTGTAACGTTGCATGACCGCAGCATGTCAAAGCCTAATAAGAAGCGGCCAGAGGAAGCCTTTGGGGGGACCCTGCGCTCCGACGCACGTTCACGGTCCGTAATCAGCGCGGAATCGCCGCGCCTGCGCCGCTCAGCCGGATCATCGGACCTGACGGACAGCAGCAACGTGTGCAGTCGACCCCTGAGTAAAGTGCCCGTAAACCGCAGCTGTAATTCAGTTAAATCAATTAAACCTACTTTTTATAGATTCGTTTAGAATCGCAGTCTGCTGATGATATGCGATGCGCAGAGCATTGCTCAGTATGCGAGACAAATACTGATTGATGTTTCATTGTATTTAATTCATTTATTAGACTATGCAAGTTGCACGTAATTTTCCAGATGCTGTAAGAATTTAAAAACTATTTAAGGAAAATTTCTTATGTAGGCTACATGAGTGCATTTATTTTAATCTTTAATAGGGCGGTGCAAACTGTTTTATGAAACTCGTTTGCTTTATATAGCTACACAGAATTTAACAGTGAAAACGGCCCAGTCTAGGGAAGTGTTACGTTATCAGATCGGGAGAAATCGTCGCGCTACCTGGGACGGAAAACGCGTTGAACGGCGTCTTCATCGGCGGTGCCTGGCTGTTCTGACGGCGATCGGGTGCCAGATGCGCTACTTTGGGAGCCTCCCGTGTCAAAATACTGTCCGAATGTCAGAGACACTCCGACACCGTCCTTTCACGAAACTGAAACTCAGACTCGAATATAAATATCACTGATAAGTTGTTTTTCGTTCTTTTTTTTGGCAGCGTTCACCTCGTCCTTGTCCTGGCCTTGCTGTCGCCAGCCTTTCACACATTGAATGTTATGTATCAAACCCATGGTTTGATACGTCAGTCTGTTATATATCCAAGCCATCGCGCCTTGCATTGAGAATGTTTCGCATGGTTTATAAGTGACGTACAACCAGCCTCATTCGAAGAGTGATTGATGGTTTAATTCTTACATTCCTCTGCCAAAAAAATTACATGTAGTACCCATTAACGTCATTTGATCCCCACAATTAAATATCTTACTTTACGGGTTTGAAACACAAGTACATTTGCTGTACAATTAAGTTCTATAAATTATTATTTTGTATTGTTTGAATTTGAGAGAGGCCGGGAACTTTATAGCCATTATATGAAAAATGAAATGTTTAGCTCAGATCGAGAAGACCCAAATAAGATAAATGATTGAGTGTAAAATTACCAAAGCAAGCCTCTATGGAAATTAAATAATGACGTTTTACAGTGCATTGGCTTAATTTGTATAGAAAAAGTTATTGGCAATTAATTTGAAACTGCATTCATTATTTTATAATGACCTTTGAGATAAAAAGGAACTGCTGTAGTATGACTAATCCCTAACTTTCCTAAGTATTATAAAATATTTGCTTTTGACATCTTGAAACAAAAGACAAGATAAAAAGGAGCTTATTTATGATGATGTGAGTTTTGCGAATTTACAAAAAACAAGCCTTCTCACATATATTATTTAAAAACAAAGGTAAACGACCGAAAATACGTAAGCTAGCCTAATAGCTAAGATTAAATATAAAATAAAATGCAGATTTGGACTGTGAGAGTAGTTCTTTGTGAAAAATTCAACTTCAGTAAAGTGTTATCTGTATATTTTTAGCTGAACTATAGCTGAGATGTTCTTAGTAAAAATGTTCCGTGATGTCACTTTGTTGGCTGGGATTGTCTTTGCATATGTTGTCATCAGTACCTACCTTTGGTCACTCATTTAATTAGTGGGATGTGGATCAGCAGCTCCTTTGTACCGTCCCACACGCTTGCGGTGATTTCGCACTGCAGATTGCTGAAATGTTGCTGAAGTGCGTTTCTGAGGCCTGACTCACTCAGACATGCGCTGCGATCACAAACAAACTCCGGGAGAACTCGGAGAACCTTAGCAGCTACCTCCCACTCTGCTCGCAAGTCAGGACATCAACGGCACAGAGCCCCGCAGCCTAGAAGGAAGAATGTTTCCGCTTCACCTGTAAAGGATAAATAACTTTTCTCATTCTCCCTTCGGCCGATGTGCACTCACGAGCTTGTGAAACGCACTTTATGGCCAGAAAACCCTGCTCTCTCTCTCCGGCCATGAATGCAGGTTTCAGAGTAGCAGTGTGAGCTGTGAGTGTAATGACCTGCTCACAAAAGACTCACTACATCAGTCTTTGAAAACTTTAAAAATATTGCTTCAAACAATCTGCAGCTGGCTTTTTCCAGTATATTTTATTCACACTACCCTGAGAATTTCCCATTTCACTGAAGCAATCGGGACGGCTCAAGTTTGAAAACTACAATTCCCAAGGTGGCCTGTTAGCAGCAGGCTAATCCTGCTAATGACTCACTGCTGCCTTTATTTAAATAACTACCAACATACAAAACACAATGGTTAATTTATGGGGATGGATTTGGGGGGTTTTTTGAGCCTGTGTTTGACCATGCTTTAGAGACTTTTTAGTGGGACTATTCTGTTATCGCTTGGGTGTGAGATTAAAGGACTATAGATACTTTAAGCCAATATGACTGACAGTTATTGACAATAAATCCTCTGGATGGTCTGTCACCCCTTTCCACAAACACAAATCCACAAACAAATACACTGGCAAAGGTTATAGAAGGACAAATCAGATGTGTTAAAGGGATAATGAGTTTAAACGGAGGTTTTATTATGTGATAGATGTTTTTAAATGTATACAAATCAACAGAAACTCCTCCTGTACTTTGCAAACTGCATACAGTGATGCATTTATGTTATTTCTGCGGATCTACGTTTTTTTTTTTCTTTTGTTTTTTTTTAAAGAGCAAGGGCGCCACCTTCCACCGTGATAAAACGTCACAGGATGGTCCTTAATTCCACCGTAGTGCTGTTATTGAACAGCAGGTGGCGTCTAAGACACGTTTGCGCTTTGCTTGTCACTTTTTTTCCCAACAAAACAGTTTCACAGATGAATTATTTTAAGAACAAGATACATATTAAAAATTAAGTATTTGCTAGCTTCTTTGGTTGAAGTTGTACTTGAATATTTACTGTAGCTTCTAATAATGTACTTTTAAGGTAAATAGTAGAAGAATTAAAACAGGAATTTACAATATGAGTACTGTTACACATGGATTAATTTATACTTGCCATGCTTGAGGCTAGAAGACCAATATATCTTTCTGAGGCAGAGATAATATAACTTAATATATGTTGTGTATCAGTTTCCTTCAAGCTATACAATTAAGAGAAATAATGCCTTTTCCCATAAAACGATGTGAGAGGTTTAGCCACCAATATATTAATACGGCCCCCAGCTATAAACAGAGGGGGATCTGTGATGTTATTGCTGTCTGAAGTTTATTTATGTGGTTCAGGGTGATTCATTCTTTATTCCTGTCAGGATAATATATTCAGCAATTTTTGCATCTGAACATTCACTTAGGATGTAGCCAGTTTAGAAACTGCTCGTTAAAACGGTGCTTAAACCATCACGCCAACAACGATATCTGTACGGATTCCTCAGATATCCCTCGGTAAAATTTGCCAACCTTGGTAGGGGCCCAGTTCTCAGTAAATTGTTGCGAATTTTGTGTGATCGTTTGTTATGGAAAGTAGTGTACGGTAAAATTTGATGGCTGGGATGCGGTTAGGGGGTAGGTGCTGTGATGAGCCCCAAGATGGCTTCCCCTCCGCCCCTCTGCTGCTACTCCAAGATTCAAGACTCAACCCTTTACATGAAGGCTGCGTACAATTAATATTTAACTACAGCGCTGGGAAATGCACTATGAATTTAGATGCTGTGAATATATGGATGCAGAGCTGCCTACAAACTCGTTAAATTAAAGACGCCGGATGCAGGGTGGAAGCTTGGGTTGTCGTAAGATGATTTAGCGTCGGTCAAGGGAGCCAAATTGACAACAATTGTGGGCTTTGTCGACATACTTGACACAGACTAACGTGTCCAAAAAGAAGTGCAACAGTAGGAGAGAGAGTACGGATCCCTTGTTAGATCCATCAGGGGATGCATCAGTGACAAAAAAAAAACAAATAAAAAAGCATCATTGTGTAAGTGACACACTGAGAGGGTGACATAAATCCGCACCAAGTATACACGCAGTCTGTGCAGTGGGAAAGAGAGGGTGCCACCAATTTGGGGGGATTTTTAGAAACAACATTTAACATAAGGGACTGGATTCAAGGTTCTTCTGTTTCCGCAGCAGCGGGCCTGGTCTGTACGCGGATTTGGAACAGCACAGCGCGCTGACGGAAGACAGGAGATGCGAGGCGTCAGACATTCACAGCACGAAATAAAACAACGCATCAGAGGCACGGGTGACACTATGGTGCTGTAAGTACAGTAAGACATATGGTGCAGTAGTTTGAGTAAGTATAAGACTTCCATAATAAATATGACACACAGTTATACGTGCAAGGAGCTGGTCATGCTGTACAGGAGCGGTTAAGAATATGCAATGAATATTTTGTTATGCACACAGACCCACAGCAATGCAATGTGCCCTGATAGTGATTATATGCCTCACAGAATAAAGTCTAAAAGCTAAAGTGTTTGCCCCTGGTCCCCCATCTGGCTTCCGCCGGTCATATGTCTCGCTAACCCAAACTGTGAGCAGGCTGCGCTTCCTGCTTCTCTACCTGCCCATCTGTCTCTGCCAGTCTGCTTTGAGAGGAGGAGGTCGGCCAGGAGAAAAGTAGCAGTTTAGGAAAATCACAAGAGCTCATTTGCATTCTAATACTGGCAGCCAAAGGGGGGCAGGACTCTGACCTTGTGCATTTTCAGGGGATTTAACCTCAGCATTGCATTACTGTTGCATTGTGGGAAGTAAATTCCTCACCGCGCTCGGCTTCGTGTTTCCCCCCATCCATTTCAATATGTTTAAGAGAGCACTGGCCCTTTCTCTGAAATGGGTTTGGAGCACTAGATGCTGGTACCCGAACATGCCCTCCCATAACCTAATGAATCTCTATGACCCCGAGGAGCAGTTGGAAGATGGATGGATTGCTTTAACTACACATAGCATTAGTGAAGGAAATAACAGCTCTTTGAAGGGAGCTGAATCTTATGGCTCTCTTCCTTTCTTAAGAGGTGGGGGTTCACTAGGTGCATCTGCAAAATAATCACTAGGACAATGACAGGGTAATGTTTGGACCAGATTCAGACTTAGACATCACACAAATATAGTTTCATTTCGTGTGTGTAGACTAGACTCACAAGCAATAAAATAATGAACTTTTGTGCAAAACAGAATTTAGTGCAAATGAGATAGACAAATATCGGAAAAATTTGAACTGACGTAGCCTGCTCATTCTGCTTTTAAGGATCCTAACCTCAACCTGTCTACCTCTGGCTGGATCTTACTGTTCACGTAAAGGGAAGTGGAGTAGATGTAGGTCAAGCAGTGAAATTTGGGCTCAGCGATATAAAGAAAGGCTCTCAAATTCGACTCGGGTCCCTTCGCTTGTACCCAAGAGCCATTCAGAACATTTGGATTGTTTGAGAACGTCACATCACTCCATAGCATTGCTTTCCAGAATAAGCCTCCATGGACAGCTTGGACGTCCTGAAGCTCCTCGTCCCTTCACACCCACTCTGCGCCTGGCATTACTTAGTCCAAGCAATATGACACGGCGGGCCAGAGGTGCGGGCAAAATTAATTTGTTTTGCTGAAGGCACTTTGAGGAGAACCATGCAAGTAAGAAAATGTAATTACATTTCCTCACTCACGATCCAAATGAAGCTCAGTATGAATTATGTATCGCCCATCCCAGGAGCTCCTGCGAAGCAGATGTGTGGCTTCTGCAAAGAGGCACAAAGCTGTCCTGTTGGATGCAATCGACATTAACGACTCTGCATACCCACGTGACCCTGGCTCTTATTTTCAAGCAGGCAGAGGTGGCTTCAGTCTGCGATTGCAGCAATGATTTAGCCCACAGTGTCAGCTTAAGCAGGAAGGAAGTCCAGCTTCTTGGGGTTAAGCGGTTTTCGTAAAGGGCGTTTATGTTATCGAAGTGAAGGCCTATCAAGTTTCATTTAATACTTCCCATCACGCTGCTTGAACATGTGGAAGGATGGTGATAATTGTTCCTGGGTGGGTTTGGTGCTCCTTGTGCCCCCCCGGCCTCCCGTGCAGTGGCGGTCTGTGGCCAGCAGGGGGCCTCCAAATGCCCAGTCTGAGTGGCAGTAAACACTCAAAAGCTCCAGACATGCTGTCAGTAGTAGACACCACTTTGCGTTTTTTTTCCCTCCCAGCTCCTAGTGTATATACAGGCTGCTGTGGTCGTGATGCAAAGCGAACAGAATCTTAGCTAACATTTGTACGAAGCATGTTAAAAGCAAAAACAAATAATTGTGGAGCACTGAGACCGGCTGCCGCTATAAGCTTCATTTGCTACAGGGGCTCATTGTTTATGGCCGTAGCCTCACACCCCCAAGGTGCGGTAGCTTCAGTGCCAACCCCCCCGCTCCTTGTGGGTGTTCTTCTGCATGTTCTTCCCATGTCGAACGCGTTTCCTCTCCCAACCCAAAGGTGTGCGTGTAAATTGACTGTAGTGTACAGTTGTGCGTGATTGTGACCTGTGATGAACGTGATGGATCCATGGTGTACAGCGCGATAGACTTCAGCCCCCCCCCCCACCCCCCTCAGGATATGGGGCTGGAAGATGGAAGAGCATCGTAGGTCTGATGAACTACATTTGATGATACCTGTGTTTTTTTTTCCCTTTTTAGAATTACTGTCAGGCAACAGATGCAATATTGACGTATGTGTGAGGAATGTGCACGTAACCTTGGAGTCTGTACACCCACTGCAACACGACTGCAGACACCGGATGAAACAGCATGATGCATCTTATCATTATTCCGTATGATCGCTGGTTCGAGAAAGGAAGCCAGTGTTATTTCTTCATTTGGTACCCTCGGTTATGACATCATGTGTTGAAAGATGCTATGGGATTGGCCCAGTAGAGGCGGTATGTCATCAGAAGGAGTCCTCCCAAGGTTCAGGGCTTTTCCACACTGCACTGACTCATTTTAATAACCAGGGCTTTGTACCTCTTAACATCCACCTAATGGAACCTTTTGGATTCGCCGGTTGAGTTAAAATCTGTGGTTTATTGCTTGACAGTTTCGCTGGGGAGTGCCTTGAGTGTGAGTCCATCACACATGGGGGGGGGGGGCAGAGGGAGGGGAGTTAAAGCCTGCTGGGCATCTGC